AATCTCATCATGACATCATGTAATACCGATATATAGTTCTAATTATTATGATTATGCCTGGGATTAACTTTGGAAACTGATTTTATAAAAAAAAAGCTATAGAATTTGATCTAACGATAATGAATATTAGGATGATAAATCCGATTTACTTAGTAGCCTGAAATCCAGGGGGTTTGCGATTAATTAATTGAAATACCATTGGATCACCATCAACCCACACTCACACACACCCACTTACACTGCACATGACAGCCATGCAGTCACCATACCCGCATTAAACCCAGCCATCTTGAGATTCACACTCTTTAATCTTTATCCACCTCCCACTAACGATAGCAATGTGAACCTCGGGTAATTATCGGACATAATTCGTACTGAATGGATATTACTCGACCTGCTGTAGCGCGTGAGGTAAGGTAAAAGTTACTACTTTCAACTTGTCCCGTCCAACCATATCTCATTTTTTACATGGCTTATCTTAATTTTCATCGATATCTATTTACATGGCTTATCTTTCAATTATTTGAACTCAATTACTGATAATAAATATTATCACTACTTTTCATTTATAAAGTATTTTATTTCGTTTTATCATATAAGAGAAACTTTTTTCACATTTATTTTTTCAAATGTAATGTGAGAATGAGTAGACCTGCCTGCCAGTACCCACATGATTATTATCCAACCTGGCCCGTGCTTGATGCAAAGCAGGTTTGGGTAGTGAGATGCCCGCCCCACCCGTTTTCTATCCCTACTTTCCCACCACTCCAAGGTTTGTTTGCTTGTTGGTTTTTTACGATAAAATTTGGTACCTAAATTAAGACAAATCGTTGGTTTTTCAATGGGTTCAAATTAGGAGGGATGGTGATTTTGGATGTGGCTGGTGGGATGGTCATGGCACCGTATTTTCTTCATCGATTGTTAATTGTTATAGGATCTGGTGTTGGTGGAGTTGATGCCTTTGCATGATGAATTTAGGTGGTGTAGCTAGATGGGCTCTAACACGTTCAAATGTAAGGTGATGTAAAGGTCATGATAGACAAGGTCAACTAGTGAACTTTCAGATATGTAAGGGGTGATGTGATTCTAGGGGAGATTCGACGACTTTCATTTGAGGCAGTTTTATTGTTTAGTACGTGGGTATGAGAATAATAAGATAGCTCATTTGGTTATTAAGAAGACCCTCTCTTTATTTCCTACGAGTGTCACTAATCACATTTACTTCCCCATGTATTAGTTGAGAGTTATGCTCAGTACTATATAATCAAGCGAAAGTGTAGTTTCCTTTCGATGTGTTTATTTTTTCTTGTTCTATTTGTTTGTTATGTTTGTTTTGCTTTCATTGAAATGTAAGGTATTGGTGTTCTTATGTAGTCCTTCATCTTTAAAACTTCTAAAAGAGGAAATGAGATTTTTACATCCATCCTATAACATATAACTCTATATGTGTTATACTGTGTTTATGAGACCGAGATTATGACTTGAAGAAATAAACCGAGAAGATCAATGTTAACAATAAGAAAGCATGGAATCACGTCGAATCAAAATAATGCATGTCGGCTAAGAGCATAAATCTAAAAGAAAGAAAGCTATATGAAACAACCACAAAAATATAAAGAAAGCCACTCATCTACTTGAGCTCTATACAATTGGAAGAAAGTTCCCTGTAAATACTGAATAGGGTTATAGGTATAATATGCCCCTCTATTATGACGTTTTATCAAACATGCCCTTATACTATTGTTTACATCAAACATGCTCCTGTACTTTGTAAAAATGATCAAACATGCCCTTTTGTTTAAATTTTCATCCAAAAACCGTTAACCAAGGTCGAACTTTGGTTTGGGCGGCACAAATGTCTAAAATATCCCTAATAATTTCACTTTAGAATTTTTTTATTCTTTTTTATAGTCAAATCATTCAAATAATTTCACTTTGAAGAGAACCAGAGAAATAAAACGGGAGCAAAAACTGACATTTTCGCTCCCATTTGCCGATGTCGGGTCGTCTAAATCTCGGTTCAACCATGATTGACGATTTTATCAATGGAAATCTTAACAGAAGGGCATGTTTGATAATTTTTTCAAAGTACAGGGGCATGTTTGATGTAAAAAATAGTAGAGGGGCATGTTTGATAAAACGTCATAGTAGAGGGGCATATTATACCTATAACCCATACTGAATATGATCATACGTCATCCAGCAACACCCCTTCCATAACCTCCAATATAAGAATACTACATAAGCAATCACAACCTTACACATCTGCATGGATAATAAAAGATTATGTCAGGCTAAGTGAAGAGAAAGGTTGCATATGACCTGCCGGATGTGCTCCTTCAGCAACCATGATGCCCATGCAATCTTGCAAGAGAAAAAACAATGAGATATAGTTTTAGCATCATCCGAGCACACTGGATATATATTAGAGGAACACAAGGATTTCGACTGAAGTATCACCCTAAAGTGTAAGAAGCCTTGCACAACACGCCACTAGAAGAACTTCAACTTAGAAGGTATAGGCAGATTCCATAAAGTCTTCACAAATTTCTAGTCAAGATGTTGGAGGCAGAGTATCAAATAAAGGATTATGCGCCACTGAAAGTAGTTGATACCCTACCCCAACTTCACAGTGTAATGACCGATGTTGGAAAAATGCCAAATATGTGGGGATGAAGGGGATGGATACAATCTACTTCACATTGTCACCAGTAAATGTGACTCGTAAAAATTTTTCATTCCATGTTCTGGTAAGTGGATGGATGAGTGACGTAACAAAGGGATTAGCAAGTGATATCCCCGACAGAAGCGTTAGTGATGAAGGCGGGGAAGAGGGAAGCCAAGCGTCTGTGAAATAGATTGTTGTTCTGCAATCCTGCCATTGGAACCCCTTCTTAAGAAGAATCTTGCTTTCAAGGACACCCTGACATGCCCATGAAGGTTGGCTACCCACATGAGCATTAAGGGAGTTATATCGGGGCGATACCTTTCCTTATACATATGAGCAAAGGTGGAATTATGAGACTTGTGGACCTACCAAGGTTGCTTGGCCATAACCGCCACATTGAACAAGTCAAAATCTTGGAAGCACAACCCACCCTAAAACTTATTGATACACACTGCTATACAAGAAATCAATGCATCCCATCATCATTATCCTAATTGGACCATAAAAAATAAGCAAGTTGACTATTTAATCTATGACAGCTCATAGATAGTAATGTGAAGGAAAACATTGTGTACATCGGAGTGGCAAATCTAATTGTCTTAATCACCACTTCTTTGGGTGCCAATGAAATAGCTTTCGACCTCTAGTTCCGATAACAAGTGCATCTTCTAGAAATTGAAAGAACATATACTTGGAGCACTTGACTTGAGAAGACAAACCTAAGTATTTGCCCAAGGCCCAAATTGAAGACTCCCATGAACCCCACAAGATCATTTGCCTCTTGTTCTGCTACATTCGAAATGGAACATACATAATACATGTGTAGATTGATACGTTGGCTGCTTGGCTCTTCATTTATATTCAAAAGATTAAGACGACTGAGTGTATTTAGGCAAAAACGCACACAAGAACATATATGAATCATCAATGAAGACTGAATGCAAAGTTGTCGGAGCTAACCGATGGATCTTCAAACCATGCAATTGATACGAACCAAAAGCATTAGAGATCATTGTCTAAAAGCTTCGGTATAGATAGCAAAGAGAAGGGGAGACAACAAGCCACCTTGTCTAATGTCCCTTTGTGGCTGAAAGTATTCGTGCTCCACGCCATTCAACAAAACAAAAAAGAGATCATCGTCACACAATCCTTTACCCACTTAATCCATTGTGCACCATACATCAGAGCCTCCATTATCGCAAAGTGGACACCCCATTCTACTCTATCATATGCTTCTCCATGTCTAGCTTCAATGTCATCCATTTGTCACAACCATGAGTTTTGTTTTCAAGAATTGCATGACCACCTGAGCGATGAGAATGTTGTCTGACATATCTCTCCCTTATACAAATCCATTTTGAGAGTCGCTGATCACCAATGGAAAATTAGGCTCTATATGTAAGACAATACCTTTTAAATAATCTTGTAAAGCAGCTGACACAACCCAATTGGCATCTGCTTCATGAACTCGCCATGTGGAACCTTTGGAATCAAGATGAGTAAGGTATGGTTGAAGTTATGCAATAGTCAACCAGATTGGAAAAATGATAGAGCTGTCACACACACTGACTCGCCAATTACATCCCAATATTCCTGAAAGAAGGTCGCAGTGAATCCATCCGAGCACGGTGCTTGTCCAAGACCAATACTAAATGTTGCTCGTTTGATATCATCCCACGAGGCTGGGGCATATAGGTATGAATTCTACTATGTAGAGACTTTGAGGGGAAGGCCTAAAGCATTCACCACAAAGCGGGGCGAGTTACCATTTGAAAGAAACAGGTGTTGGAAAAACCCCCTGCAACTATACCTTTATCTAATTCGTCAAAAGGAATACCTCCATTCTCATCTCTAAGCATCTCAACAACATCTGATGGTCTGAGCCAAGATCCGATAAATGACTAACCTGCACATTAGGCCACGAATTGATAATAAGATCATTAGCTAAATCACGATCAAGTCGTTCAAGAATACGTGTGTCTAGTCCTTATCAGTTAGACCGTGTGAATGGAGGACCTTTAAATCCCAAGTCGAGTAATTAACCCTGCAACATCAACAAATGATCGAAATCTGTCCAACTCCATGTTCTATAGAGCCTAGTTACCAACCCATCTCGTCAGCCTATTTCCTCCATTGGATCCTTTTGATTTGACTCAACTGTATGAATTATCTAGTTATAGTAATTTAAAAGAAGAGAGACAAATTAGTGAATAACTAAAACAAGCAAACAAGAAAAGAAAATTTAAGAATTGGAATAAAAGCAGTTGTAATTCCCTCCAAACTCTTCCATAAATTTTGTCTCTCTCATCACACTTCCCCCAATAAATTATCTTGGATAATTAAGCAACCAAATCTAATTAAGAAACGGTAAACCAAATCCTCCCTCCTCCTTAAAACCCACGACACCAACGGCAAAAAAAATAAAATTAAAAAGCCCATCCCCCCTTCTCCTGACCCGACCCGCTTCCTTCACTCTCTCTCTGTCTCTCTCTCTCTCTCTCACTGCGGGGCTTACGCAGAGACAGACGGTGTGTTTACACTACTGGCACTTTGATCTCTTCTGCCCTTCCCCTTCGATCTTCTTTTTCTTACAGCAATGGCCGCTTCTTGCTGAATTCTTTTCTTTCCGGGCAAACGAAGATTTCCGATTTTTTGCCACTTCTTTTCATCTTTCGGGGGTATTGGGTTCCTTTCTTCTCCTCCAAAAATGATGGTGCCGGCAAAGCGGCGGTTGAGGGCCGTGGCGGTGATGAGGAAGATGATAACGTGCGCCATTTGCGCATTCGCGATGGTGGCCGTGCTCTCCGTACACGTGCACGTTCAGGTCTTCCCTTCCAGAGTTCCCGTATTGCCTGATCCTTACAAGCTCCCCACTACCACCACTCAGGTTCGTCGTCTATTGGCTTCCCCCCCACCTTTCTTCGTTTCTTGGGTTTTGCTCTTTCTGCTTTCATTTGGGTTTATTTTGTTGTTGTTGTTGTTGCTGTTTTTGCTATGGACAAGCTCTGTGATCTTTTTCTCTGTTTGATGGGTTTAATTCAGTATGGGCGATAGATTTCTGTAAGTTTAGAGCTTTCTTTTCTGGGTAAATTTAAAATGTTAACCGGAATTGGATTGATTTCTTAGATTCTCTCGTTATTTCCTGTTTCTTCCGCCCTACTTGCTTTACTGTTGCGTGTAAATTCTGGCACAAGAAAGGAATAGGTAACGTTATTAGTTAGATTTGCTTTCGTTTCTGTTTAAGCAAATTTTAGCTTTTTTTGGTTTCCCAGGCTTCACCCCTTCACTTCTCGTGTTGGTGAGGTGGTTTCCCTTTCATTGCTCTTTACTGTGGTAGTTGGCTGACAAATCAGTTCCATTGTTCTTTCCCTTTTCCCTTCATTAGGGTTGTTTGATGAATCATTTTCTTTTCCTTTAATACGTAACTGAATAAATTTGCAGAAGGGCAGGACTGAACAGCAACAGAGCTGGAGTAGAGAGGTTGTTCCACCCCATTCCAAGGCACCAATTGGTCCTCACCAGGTCTAATATCTAAACCTGTAAGCTTGTTGTATTTGACAGGATAGGAAAGGGGGTAAAATATAAAAGAGAAATTATGAAACAAGATAGAAGCTTTTTGCCCGATCACTAATCATCCTGAGTTGGGATTCGGTGTCGTTGTGTTTATAGTCCGGAAAATTGGTGGGTTGGAGTAATATGATGATTAAGATGATGATGATGGTGAAGAATTATTAGGTGTACATTTTTATATACAAACAGTCATGCTTCTTTCATGTTTTCACTTCCATTAGATTCGACAGTTGGAAGGTATTAATGCTGTACCTGCTCTGAAGCTATGGAAGCCTCCGCCGAATCGTGATTATTCTCCCTGCGTGGAGCCTAGTTCGAACTATACAGGCAAGCATACACCTTTTTTTTGTGGTTGTTATGTGAGCTTTCTTGTTTGTCTGTCTTCTTTATCCTTTGTGCTAACTTTGCTATTGTTCCCGAATCCTCCTCAGCTCCTGGAGAGTCTAGTGGTTACCTATTAGTTCATACAAATGGCGGGCTTAACCAGATGAGAGCCGGGGTGTGTATTCAGCTTCTTAAAAAATTTCTCCTTTTGAATTTGATATCTCTGTTTGATAAATTAAGGCAGTTGTTGATGTTTCGTGGTAGACTTATTGTGATGGTTGAATTATTTTTTTCCCTATCTAGACTATGCTCTCAGACCGCCATTTTGTTCTTCAGATAGGTGGTCTCTTAGAAGCCGAATCATCTGAGAGTGAATAGGTCTCATGCTTGCAGTATTATCCTATTTTGGCTGCACTCTTGCTTTGTTCAAATGCCACACCAGTTTCGACTTTGGTTTAGTTGGGTTGTCTCAATGTTAACTCTTTTATGTTCTTATCGATCATGAACACTGGCCAGGTGATTTCTGGGGTTGTCTCTATGTATGGTTGGTCTCCATAAAGTTCAGGGTCTCGAAGCATTTACATTGTTCCTCTCGATTATGCAAGTTAAATTTTTGCTGTCCGTTGCTATGATCCAGCAGAATCACATTCCATATTTAGCCTTTATTCTGTAGCTTTACAGGAGACTGATGGATTTTCGTAATTGGATTTGAGTTCACGAAAAAAGAAAGTAATTAAATTTTCTTCTGCGAGGAACCTATGATTCCTTTAGTTTCAAGTCAATCTAATGAAGGGTCATAATTTTACTGTAGATTTGTGATATGGTTGCTGTTGCTCGTATCATTAATGCCACTCTTGTGGTTCCTGAGCTGGATAAAAATTCTTTTTGGCAAGACACTAGGTAATTATATTATTATTCATTCAAGCCTTTGCTTGTTCGGGTTTTTTTTATTTTTGTGGCTTTTTGGTAACTGCAACATCACAATTCTTTTTTCCCCCAACCTTGCAGCAACTTTTCAGATGTTTTCGATGAGGACTATTTCATCAGTTCTCTGGCTAGTGATGTTAAAATTGTGAGAAAACTTCCCAAGGACATGTTGGGCGTCACTAAAGCAGTTAAGCATTTCAGAAGCTGGTCTGGGATGGATTACTACCAGGAAGAGATCACTAGCCTTTGGGAAGATTATAAGGTTTGCCATTTTGCAAACTCTCTGGCGTACTACTCATCTTCTGGACCTGGTAAAAAAGAGCAGCACTTGCTATTATCTGATAGTTTTATCGCTCAATTGTTCATAGGTTATTCGAGCTGCTAAATCAGATTCCCGCCTAGCAAATAATAATCTTCCTCCAGATATCCAGAAGCTACGTTGCCGCGCATGCTATGAAGCTCTCCGGTTTTCACCTCAAATTGAAGCCATGGGAAAAGTAAGAAATTTATCCGTCAGCGATTCCTGATGTTTTTGCTATTTGTCCACCAACTGTCAGTGGCATAGTTGAGAATAATACGTTAATACCCGTTTATTTACATAATGTAGTTATTGGTGGATCGAATGAGAGCTTATGGTCCTTATATTGCCTTGCATTTGCGATATGAGAAAGACATGCTTGCATTCAGTGGGTGCACACATGGTTTGTCTGCTTCCGAAGCTGAGGAACTGAAGAAGATCAGGTAAGAGGTTGCAAAAGTAGTGTTGCATGTTCGTAAAAATATATTTTTCTGCTACTAGTTCAATGAACATTTAAGTTTCAAACTTCTTTGCAGGGACGACACGTCTTACTGGAAAATCAAAGATATTGATTCTGAGGAGCAGCGGTCCAAAGGCTATTGCCCCTTAACTCCAACAGAGGTTGCTATGTTTCTTACAGCTCTTGGGTACCCATCAAACACACCCATATATATTGCTGCTGGGGAAATATATGGTGGTGATGCTCATATGGGTGAACTCTTGTCCCGCTATCCTTTATTAATGAGCAAGGTACAGGACTGAATTGGTGATTTGGTAAAACTTCCAATGTCAAATACATATGGTGGTCCAGATTACACAAGTCGGCTATCCTATGGCGTACTTGTTGAATTTATTTTATAATAATATGTTGCAGGAAAAATTGGCTTCAGTTGAAGAGCTTGAACCATTTCGCAAACACGCTTCTCAAATGGCGGCTCTCGACTATATTGTGTCTGTCGCAAGTGCTGTCTTCATCCCAACATACTCTGGTAACATGGCAAGGGCAGTTGAAGGTCATCGTCGTTATCTAGGACACAGAAAAACCGTGTCACCAGACAGGTACAAGAAGAAGTTTTTGTTTTCCTTTCTCTATGTGGGTAGTTTTTATTTCCAACAGGCAACAAGCAGCATATCTGTTGAAGTTGTTCCTGAATTTGGTTTTTGCCTTTTCCTGAACAGGAAATTGCTCGTTCGTCTTTTTGACAAAGTTGAAAGGGGGAAATTGAAAGAAGGCAAAAATCTTGCTACCCGTGTCATCGAACTGCACAAGAAACGGTACTTATGTGCCCTTTTCTTTTCGAACTAATGATGCAAATGTGCAAAGAAGAAGCCTGCTGTTGTGCCTATTATGTGGATTGTGTTTACCAAAAGTTGGATCTATTTTTATGATGTGGTTGGACAGGCAAGGATCCCCAAGGAAGAGGAAAGGACCCATCTCAGGAACTAAAGGCATGGATAGGTTTCGTTCGGAAGAAGCGTTCTATGTAAATCCCTTACCGGATTGTTTATGTCAGAGACAACCATCATCGAGCACAGGCACCTCTTCTGCAATTAGGTAGACTGACTGACTTCCAAACCGTAGAGGACTCTTTTTGTCTTTCGAGACAGACAGCAGACATCCCTGTACAGCCAAGCCAGGATATCTCCCAAAGTTGAGGATGAGCAGCAACCAGAGGGAGGGACAGCAGAAGCTGGTTGTGGGTCCGGGGGGGATACGGAATGTACATATGATATTTGTGAGTTGTGAACTCTGCAGAAGTTTCTGCTCTGTTTAGATTTCTTTGGAGGAGTGGGGGAGGAGAATTAGGAATATAGAGGATTTGTATCTGCAACAAGGGGAGGCCACTTTACTCTTGTTCAAACGAGGTCTGATTTGAGGAAGATTGGGCAGGATCTCCCTCTTAGTTAGTGGAAGTATTAGTAGAAATCAAATTCTTTTAGTTGAGGGGGATACCTTTGTATGGTTTTGGTTTTGCTTGAAATAAAAAGAAAGTTCGTTTGTTGTTTGGTTGATCTCCATTCTCAGTGCACTGTTTTTGAGTTCTTTTTCAATGTCAATGGAATAAAAGTTGGTGGCTTTTTAATCACCATTTGGACTCAACACGGTCAGAAACCCGGTTCTGTGCGGGTTGTGGGCGAACCGGCCTGGTCCAGTAGCTGCTGGTTCTTCCAGCAAGGCAGGGATAGGATAACGCCAGCTCCTTTTCCAATCAAGCAGAACTAATTAAAACCATGCACTCTATACACGTAAGCAAGCAAAGGTAGCCCACCCCAAACCTTCACTATCCTTTGCCTGATACTGGGTTTGCCTTTGCCTTCTCTCTTTGTTCTCAGCATCATCAAGCCACAGAGAGAAACAGGCAGCAATGGGAGTTTCTTTCTTGACAACTGTCGCGCCTTCTCTGGTCCATCTCACATCTTTGAGCTCCACCAGTAATGCTGCTTCATCTAGATCTCTTCCAGTGAGTAGTATTCTCTTCTTTCTGGGTTTTGATTGGATTATTCGGTTCCCTGCTGGAATTTTTTCTGGCCTGATGTTTTGTGTTGGTTTTTCCTGGATAAAATGGGCAGGGTACTACTACTGCAGCAATTCGGTGTAGTAAAATTGAGACGGATGGAGTTGGTGGTGGAGAGGGCATTTTCCATATCCAGAGAAGACATGTTTTAACATGCTTTGGTGCTACTATTGCCCTGGTAATACAGAATTCCACCAAATTCATTTTTCGCTCTATTGCTCTGCTGCATAATGTAGCTGGTAGCTGATTAATGTACATGTCTATCTATCCAGTCTGCAAAAAAAATTCAAATAGTATTATGATGATTTGAGTTGTTTAGGAACTCGTGGGAAGCTCAGGGTCCCTTGTTGAAATGGCTACCGCCGCTGATCTCATCCAACGCAAACAACGATCCGAATTCCAGTGTAAGTAACCAACTGTCGCTTGAAAACTTCCTCTAGGTTATGTATGTGAGAGCAAAGAGCCAGTTTCAAGTCAAAGCTCATGTCTTTGTTCCTTTGTTTCTCATCAGCCACTGTAAAGAGTACACTCTTCACTGCAATAAAGGTAACGGCTCTGTTTGTTTTCCCACTGGGTTTGCTGGTGCAAGTCTTCATGTCCTAGTTCTTTCCTTACTGAAGAGGTAATGTAATTGTGGTCATTTGTATTACCAGGCAAAGCCTGAAATCATTCCATCATTGCTGACATTGGCCCTCAACGATGCCATGACGTATGACAAGGTCAGGCACGAAAAAGCAGAACAAATGAAAACCTTAGCAGTTCCTTTTCTTTCAGTCTCTTTGTGGTCAGTTTCAGTTTGGAAAGAAGTAGTAAAGCTAATTTTGGGGAAGACATGATTTAAGTTTGTAGGCTACCAAAACTGGAGGACCAAACGGATCAGTACGATTCAGGTAATTGATATTTAGTAAAGATAGTGTCATTTCTGGCAATGTACTCAACTCACTTAATCTCGGTATGCATTCTCTGAGTTTTCCTTGTTGCCAAATGTTGCTGCGGTTCCCCGTGAAGTTCAGAGATAAACAGACCTGAAAACAAGGGACTGTCTGCAGCCTTAGACGTACTAGAAGAAGCGAAGAAGGAGATTGATTCAACCTCCAAGGGTGGACCTATCTCCTATGCAGACCTTGTCCAGTTTGCAGGTTTTGTTGTATGATATTACTAGCAACTACATAAATTGGATAGCTCACAAATTTGCATTCAACCTGCAATTTTTTGCATCATTCCTAATCATGCGACTAACTATGCTTCTTCGGACAGCACAAAGTGCTCTCAAGGCTACATTCCTAGCATCAGCAATCCGCAAGTGTGGTGGAAATGAAGAGAAAGGGTCGCTGTTGTACTCTGCATATGGCTCAAATGGGCAGTGGGGGTTATTCGATAAGCAGATGGGCAGGGCAGATGCAACAGAACCCGATCCTGAAGGCAGGGTTCCTCAATGGGATAAAGCCACTGTGCAGGAGATGAAAGACAAGTTCTCAGCAGTCGGACTAGGTCCTCGCCAGGTACACTACTTTATTGCAATTTTCTCCCTACTCCTAAGAGCACCATGAATAGAAACTAGGACTGAATTATGGTTGCTGCAGCTTGCGGTCATGTCTGCATTCCTGGGGCCAGATCAAGCTGCCACTGAGGCTATGCTGGCTGCAGACCCTGATGTGGCACCGTGGGTCCAGAAGTACCAGCGCAGTCGAGAGACTGTGTCCGAGACAGATTACGAGGTAACTTGGACATCGACATGCCTCTACTTTTCGTGTCTTGTTTGGATTTTCTGATACAATGTGAACAATGATGTTCTGTTCTAGGTGGATCTCATTACAACCCTAACCAAATTAAGCAGTCTGGGTCAAACGATCAACTACGAGGCCTACTCCTACGCTCTGCCGAGAATTGATATCACCAAACTCAAACTCTAGCTCGGGAAAACAACTTATTCCAACCAGGCAGGAACAACAGCATTCAACAGCAGAGAGTTAAGATTGTTGGCTAACCGTCAGTTTTGGAGCTGAGATATCATCACTTGTCAGCTCCACAAGACTTGCAGAGCTGTTATTTTCGTCTTGGATGATGAATTTGTATTGATAGATTTGGGAATTGGGATACATGACTTGATGTTGAGACGATGAATTTAAGAGACTGAAAGCCAACATGGATTAAACAAGGTGTCTTGCTGAAATCCACCGTCCAATTTTACTCATTTGCAAGCGTAACCAACTTCAAACAATCCGCAAGTCACGATCCACGTTCTAACCAACTTCAAACAATCCACTTCCCACCAATCCTTTCCAAAACCCATCTATTTCACAATCCAAGCAATATTCTGAACAATCCCACCATCCAGTGCAAACCAACCCTAATGATCAAATATAAAATTATAATGAAACCGGCAAACTTAACCATTGGCCTCGCACAAAGCAAAAACTCAGAACTGCTTAAACCAAAAGCTTCAGCCGTAGCTCCCTCCAGCAAAGCATAAAGCCCCCAGGGATCAAACTCCACGCCGGTTCACATTTCAGTCCTTGTATTCTTTCTCACCGAAATGACTCACGGAATTTCTTCGATAAGATCGTTACCCAGTCAGCTTACCAGTGTGCTTGGGCAATATAAGCTCCATACCACCCATGAAAGGCCGCAGTGGCTCTGGGATTATGACACTCCCGTCCTCTTGTTGATTGTTTTCCAGTATACATATTATCATACGAGGGATGGCACAAGCAGTAGCATTCAAAGTGTGTACGAACTTTGTCGGAGCAAGGTTGCTTTTACCACCCTTCTTAGGATTTGTGGATGCTGCCAATTCTGCTGGACGGTATCGGATCCCTAGCCGGCGACTTTGGTAGTCAGTACAATTTGATGCACTTGAGATCTGTCAACAGATGTGCACAGTTAGGATCGAGGATCATAACTTATCAAGTTTTAACTTTTAAGCTACTTTGTCCACTAGGGTTCTGAGCATCATGGTGGGGGTGTTTGATTCGGCTTTTGCTGAAATCTCTTCTAAGTTTTGAGTTTTAGCTTCTGTTTCACTTCTAAGTTACTTATTACCCAAAACTAACACACCTAATAAACTGATGAACATTGAGGAAGATGTTCTACAGAATAGAGTAAATCACGTCAAGTATAAGAAACAAGGTGCAAGTCCCAATATACCTCACCATAGCGCCCTAAACCAGGCATCCATGCCTCCACATCAAATTTACGGTAAGCAGGCGCACCTAAGTCTTCAGAGGCCATGTCCAAAGTTCTACTAGCAAAAAACCGAACGGCCCCTATTAGAGGAGCAAGAGAGTATAGGGAAGACAGAACAGAAAAAGCATTCAGTGGAAGAGACACACTTACTTATAATGCAAACCCAGTGAAGAGAAGAGGTCTTCTTCAATTGTAATGAGCTCCTCATGATATGCATCACTTTCTTCAGGTCGACATAGAACAAACATCTCCACTTTACTGAATTGGTGCACTCGGTAAAGACCCCTGCAACCAAAGGGAACGGCGCTTCAAATATTAGCATGGATACAAATAATGACATTTAATAGGCATAAAGACATAAGGATCAGTTGATCACTAACAAAATAAAGTTATGCACCTTGTTGCTAGTCCAGCAGCACCAGCCTCTGTGCGGAAGCAATGGGAAAATGCAGCATACTTCAAAGGCAACGATGATTCAGCAAGTATAGAATCCATATGAATTCCTCCCACAGGAATCTCTGCCGTACCAATGAGGCATTGATCACTACCCTCAATCGAGTATACCTGTTAAAAGATCCCATACTTACATTAACAGGCATAACGAAAGAATATAAAAAAGATCAGGGGGCTGCTCTCCACTTCTTGTAGCTAAAAGGAAAATATTTTCTTCCAATGGATAAGGGGTTAACTAAAGCTAATGAAGAGAGGGACAAAACTTATAAAAGAGAGAGAGAGGAACACAGATGGAACTGAAGCCATGATGAACATAGCAAATAACACACACATAAAAAAACGAACCTGGGTATTGTCTCCACGAGGCTGAAAGCCACACTTTTCAACAATAGACGACCTTACGATTTCTGGGGTTATCAATGGTGTAAATCCTTTTTGCATCACTTGGGAAAGGGTCCAATTGACCAGGGCCATTTCGAGCAAAACTGCTTCATTCTTCAGATAATAGAACTTTGATCCACTAACCTGTATAACCAAATTTAAAAATTAGGAACTCTATCTTACTTCAGCAGGAGGGATTCAGTCCTAGATCCTGAAATCTCTGCTGGGATTAGTTAAATGTTATCCAGCATGAAACTAAGGCCGACAAGTCAAAGAATTGGAGTTGCAGAAGCTCTTAGCATTGTACGATTTAGCTTAATTCTAAAAAAAATAGAATCATTACATGAAACCATGTACGATGAGTCAAGAAACCTTAATGATGTGCATTAATTAATACCTTAAATCTAACAGAAAGAGTACCTCTGCTGCGGCATCGAAATCAAATAAATCAAGTTCTTTTCCAAGTTGAAGGTGGTCCTTCATGGGGAAGCTGAACTCACGTGGACTGCCAACCTAAAGAGAACCACAATATATGTTTATGAGAACACCATGAACTTAGTACCGCATAACTGTTATAAAACACCAAAATAGACACACCATACAAGAGAGAGAGAGAGAGCGATGGCAAGAGACATATATTAGAACTATACCATTTTTCTAACAGCTGAGGAATCCTCGCCTCCAATCGGAACGTCTGGATGGGTCATGTTAGGTATAGATTGCGCTTCTAGCTGAAGCTCATCGCTCAGCTTAACCAGGTCTTCTTCCAAACTAGTGAGTGCTTCCTTCAAATTCTTTCCTGAAGCAGAGTGATTTTAATACTAGGAGTACCCAAAATAGGGGGTGAAAAACGAAGCGATCCTACGATTAAAGAGAATTCTAACCTGCCTCTATGAACTTTTGACGTTCTGATGGCTCTAACTTTCCTTTCATCTTGTTTGCGACTGCATTCCTTTCCCCACGAAGCCTTTCAACTTCCTGCTATCTGGAAGAAGCAATTAGATAAAACTGAGAAGCAAACAAGCCTCAGTTTGACACCACATTCTTCAACATTCTACATTTGATATAAACACAAAGAACTCTGAAGAAAGAAACTCGAACAGAATCCAACATGCATTCCAGCTATAAGCAAAACAAGTATAGACTAACAAAGGGTTCAGAAGGATGCAAGTCGACAAAAGCTCCGACCTTTTGAACAGCCAGCATTTTCTCGTACAGCTCGAGCACAAGCTCCAAGCTGGCTTTGGAGTTCCTCTTCCTAATGTTCTCAGCAACTGCCTCTCTGTTATCCCTTATCCACTTGAAGTCAATTGCAGCCTTCCACTGCGGCTTCGCCACTGAAGATATCATCTCAAATCAAATCAAATTCGACCAATAAAAAATCCCCTGATTGTTTCCATCGATAGGAAATGGCTAGAGTATTCGCTCACCAGTTGCAGTTCCCATGCTTTCAGTACTTGGTGTAGTTGTTTGAACAGCCGCGGCCGTTGAAAGCGCTCGAGCCAGCATTGGAAAAGGAGGTCTGGGAGAATGGCGAGGAAATGAATCCAGCGCTACTAGGGTTCTGGAAATCGGCCTGAAGATGACGCGAGAATACGCCGGAACTGCCGCCATCTTCAGGGTTTGTATGGTCGTCCCGCCAAAATAACTATGCAACCCCATTGCCGCTATCTCGCTTGCTCTCTCCTGCTCCTCTCTTCTCCGGAGTTAAAATTGGATCTTCCAAAAAATTTGCTCCAGTCTCCAGAGAATTATTTTGTTCAAAAAAATAACAAAATCCATCTTGGAAAAAGAAAATTAATAATCCCATTTGGGCCCGGCCGGCCGGCCCATTACAACTTGACTGCTTGACCCGCACGAAAGCCCAAGCCACTACGTGACCGACGGAGCGGCAAAGAAAACCGCCGTCCCGTTGTGGTACAGTGAAAAAAAATGTTGCAAAATTTCAACCAATAGGAAGCGAGCTATGGGGTTTCACGATCCGAAGCAATTGACTAGGATTAAATCTAAGCCGTTAGATGTGCGGAGAAAAAAACACAAACGAACGGGGTCGACGCCGTCCGATTCCGGCCAGGAATAGAAGCACGGTAAACGTAAACCGTGGCCGCCCACGTTGCGTGGCCCTATAAATAGCTCGATGCAAAGCGGGGGGAAATCAGAAAACCTCCATTTGAACGAGCAAGCTAACGGATATTCGTCTCGCCTTGAAGTTTCGAGCTCGCCGTCTTTCGATTCCTCTGCTCATATCTCATCGTCGAGGTTCGTCTCCGCTCTTTCTCTCTTTCTGTTACATCCTTCGAATTCTTGTTTCGTTTACCTTGAAGTGTTGCCCTGGTTTTCTGGTAGTCGGAGATTGATTGTTGAATGTAGCGATCTATAGGGAGTTTAGGGTTTCTCGATTGAATTCGATTCGGGCATTGAAATTAGTATATTGGGGTGTTCAATTGGGGAATTGTAGATGGCTCGTACCAAGCAAACTGCTCGTAAGTCCACTGGTGGAAAGGCTCCAAGGAAGCAACTTGCTACCAAGGTATGGGGAATTTCATTTTCCGATTTCTGGCTGCTTCTTATTTTTAGGGTTTTTGTTTTCTTCTTTCATTAGGGTTTCTCATTGTGGCGTCTACCTGTCCATTTAATTAGGCTGCTCGTAAGTCTGCACCAACCACTGGAGGTGTGAAGAAGCCTCACAGATACAGACCTGGAACTGTTGCTCTTCGGTAAGTCTTGTTTTGAAAATCCTCCTCCACCTGTACATTTCTCTTTTGTTGATTTGGGGGTTTTAAGGTTATCAACATTTGGGTATGAAAACTCGAATTGTGAATTGCAGTGAAATCCGCAAGTACCAGAAGAGTACTGAGCTGCTCATCAGGAAGCTCCCATTCCAGAGGCTGGTTCGTGAGATTGCTCAGGATTTCAAGGTAATTTCCCTTCAATTCAGTTTTACATGTTTTTTGTGAGCTCGTCTTCAGATGGAGAATTGTTTTGATAACCGTTCCTGGTGTTGATGCAACTTTTGTCTTTGTTGGTGTTTGCAGACTGACTTGCGTTTCCAGAGCCATGCTGTGTTGGCGCTGCAAGAGGCAGCTGAAGCTTACTTGGTTGGATTGTTCGAGGACACCAATCTCTGTGCCATTCATGCAAAGCGTGTGACAATCATGCCCAAGGACATTCAGCTGGCTAGGAGGATTCGTGGGGAGAGGGCTTAGAGAAGGATGGATTCTGATTTGGGTTGTTGGATTTTGCTGCCTCCTCTCGAGGCCTTTGGATTCTGTGGAGGAAATATGGTGTTTGATGTTAGGCTGGATTGTTAGTTTCCCATCTGTTTCATTTGAAGAATTCCTGTCTATATTCCGGTTATTAGTAGAAAGAAGATACATTTGAGACTGTTTCGGTTTCTCCATCACTGTTTCGACGGTGTTATGATCTGAATGTATTTGATGTTTTTGTTTTCTGCACTCTGTTCGTTATGTTGGTTTTGGCCTTTGGGTAGTTTCCAATGAAGCCTGATTCATAGCCTATCTGTTTTTATTTAACTCACAAAAACCAAGCAATGCAGCATCGATGTCATAACGTTTTGGAAGAGAATGGGACTGGAAAGTAGTACCGATGGGTGCTAGTCGAGTCCTTAGAAATATGAACAATCACAGGGTTTATGGCCAAGCTTATACAACAACAAAAGGACTTGTGAGTCGATGATGATTAATTGATTATATAAAAGGTCGTCTGAAGTGAGTCTAATTGGTCTCAATGAACATGTTGGTTGGTACTGGCATGTATTTGCTGGCGAAGGAACAGTTTGTCTATCATCCCCGCAGCCGTAAGATAGGTAAGAGCTTAAACGATCGTGGACTCTGCAACAGGTCCTTCTCTTCACCAGTAAGTCTGGGATTCTGCAACAGCGATCGTCGACTCCTTCGAGGCTAGTGCTGTCAGTCTTCTTCCGAGCTCCGATCACCTTCATTTTCCATCCGAAGTTCACATTTGTATCGAAGTGCTATCAATTATCAAACGATTGCAATCAGGAATTGTTTTCGATTTCAATGGGCGATACCTCAAATATAACCCTATAATCCCAGTTAATATTGTGGCCGCGTTGCATTTCTGCCTCACCATTAACACCTAGGATGAGCTCAAAAGTTGAAACATCCCAATATCCTAGTACTGCACTCTGTCTTCATCCACCAGAGCACAATTACAGATTCGGATTTAAATCTCTAATTCCAGACCTTAAAGCAAAATCATAGAAGAAATAACAAAGATCAAGCAAGCTGAAAAATGCCGCCACAAATACATCAACACATGATAGACAGCCATTATGAATTCTCAACCCAGGTAACCAACCAAACTCCTGCCACAAGCATACTGCATTTGCAAGAAATGTAGCAGTATAGTATCTTTTATTACGTAACCAAGTAATTCTGCATCACCGATTCTGCCTTTAGATTGTAACAAGTAGTTTCGGTACCCGCTAAAACCAAGTAGCAGTTACGTACGTACATGAAAAATTTCTCACCATGTAAAGATGATGAGAGCAAGTGCACGTCTAGCCTCTTGAGCAGTGCCAAGTCCATGTTGGCACTAAAAGTTTGAATTCGACGCGTAAAAAAATTCATTATTGTTGCCTCTCTAACATTCAGATAGGCACTCCCTAACAATGATTCAGAACTAAAGTCTTACAGAGATGAACAAGCACCCGATATGCCTCTTGAGAGGTTCCCATTTAAAGAGGACCAGGGAATGTACCATTCTCCCTCTGCTCATTCCATCTATCAACCTGTGACATCCATTAAAATGTCACAAAATTAGCTTCAACACCAAAGTATGCATACAAGATAATCAATGTATACCAACAAATTGCAAGATCAAAGCAGCAGTAGTAGAAGATGTTATGCCACTAACCAGTGGTAACTAGATCAAGGTACCAACTTGGACTATAAGCTGAAATGAACTAAGTCTGTTTCCAACTTGGTTGTTCTGCTTATTATGCCTAACTTATTTCCTATAACCAACTCAGCCTTGCAACTGCAACAGCCTAACATTCAGTGTACTATCCCAATCAACACCAGAGCTCTTTCAGTAATCACTATCCTGAGTATGTAACAGCTTCCAAATACAGATTATCTGAGTTTGCATCAAACAGAACTATGTGTCATATTTTTTGGGATATGAAAGTTCTAAAGAATCACTTACCCATTCGCTGGGGCAAAGTGAACGGTAATATTTCGCATATTTCTGGCAGTCCTGAGCATCTTCTCCTTTAGCAGCCACGCATCTTAAGAATATTGCAAAAATTTCCACGACAAGACAAGCACCAGCAGCAGTTAAACACCCCATTTCAGGAATTAATAGGCAACAGCTGAAGTTCAAGAACCACACATAGAATTCCCCTTACCTGTGGAACTCAATATAGCGGGTAAAGCAGTGTCTTGTTTGGTTTGTGGTGGGGAAACGGAAATCTGCCGGTGCAGTCTCAAGCTGTAAATAGGGTGACCAGACACACAGTGACAGATAAAGATGTAAGAGAACAATCATCATGGAGTTATTCATCGATGAAAAGAATGGTGACAGTACAGGTTATACCTTTATTTCAGGGGCCACCTCAGCAACTTCTTCTGTGGTTGGTTCAGTAATTTCTTCAGATGCAGCAGGAGGAGCATCATCAGAACCAGTTTTAGCAGCAGCAGGAGTATCTTTAGTGGGTTCTTCAGTAGCAACAGGTGTATCTTCAGTTTTACCCTCGACAACAGCTTCAGTTATCTCTACAGCCTTCTCTGCAACAGCTTCTGTTGTTTCAACCGCTTTCTCGACGATGGCTTCACCTATCTCCACAGCTTTCTCTGTAACAGATTCCACAGAAACAGCAGGAGCAGGAGCTGATTCTTCTTTAACGTCCACAGGCTTCACATCCACAACTGGCTTCTCCTCTTTCTCCTTCAACAAGTATTGCTGCATTTCAGTGGGCAGAGTCGAACTATTATCAGTATGGTAAAGCAGGCACAACATCACGTCCATAGCAACTAAAAACACATAAGGTGTTACAATTATTCGCACAAATGAAGGAAGGAGTTGCTAGAAAGGGATCCTCTTATGCTCCCTCTGTGACTTTGCATCAGCACAGAATTCCAACTCAAGTATTCCGAAGGCAAAAATTAGGGCAGAACATCTTGTAATCACATACCACAAACAGTGAGTATTGTAGCCTAAACTAGTTCAATGAAGTTTAGTGAAACAGAGAAAAAATCAGGCAGAATCCCCTCATTAATGATGGTATAAATTCATTTCGTCACTAAGAGGAAATAAAACTTGATCAACTTCAGCAAAGAATCGGAATCCAAGCTTTCTTTTCAAGCATAAAAACTTCAGCAAAAAATCAGTGCTTGCTTACATATGCTGCAACCTTTTCTTTCACTTACAGACTAATCAAACGAGGCTCAATTCATCCAAACTCAGATATTCTCTAGTATATCATGCACGCAATTCATTCATCCAAACACCAAACCAAGGCTCAACTTGACCCGTCATTTCTACAGGGCCAAAATAACAGTCCCTGTAAAGTAACTAGAGAAGCAGGAGCCTATACGAACAGAACTTTCAATCGGTCTACCAATACACTCAAGAAGATATAACAAGAAACGACTCAATTTATCAAGAAGCGAGTAGATTTTTCCTAACAACAGGACAATCATCAATCTTAATTACTCTAGCTTAAGATCGAAGCAACCATTTCCTTCATCCAGAGCTGCTGCGTTCAACTAAATCCTTCATTTCTATGCAACACAAAGACTTTTCCTTGAGAAGCGTGAGCCTATCGGAATGAATTTCACAATCAGGCGTACAATAACACCGCCAAAACCGATAAGCGCGATCTCCTTCACGGCTCCGACGAGCCGGTACGTTTCCGGATTGAGTGGAAACGGAAATCGGGAAACGATTTAGCCGGAAATACACGAATCGAAGATCAAAGCGCCGAGCAGACGCCAGAGCAACGATTAACCACAGGAAAAGAAGGTCGACGGATCGAAACTAGTACGGGAGGACGATTCCAATAGCCAGGAAATCAGGAGCAAGAAGAAACGAGGAGGAGAGACTGAGAAAGAGAAGCGAGAATTACCTCGGAGAGAGAGAGGGGACCGGTGGCTGCAGCTTCCGCCATTGTCACAGGAGAAGGAAGAGATCTGGTTGGAGCTTTTTTGGTGTCTGTGCTTCGAAGGAAGGAAGGAAGGGCCTATCGGAAGACGCGATGGAGGAACTGGAGAAGAAGAGAGTGGTTAGTGGTTACTGCTACAACTGTGGTTGGGTTAAGACGCGGAGCTTTCAGTTTAGTTACTGGCTGGCTGATTGTGGTGCTGGGTAAAAAAATGTGGTCGCACTGGCAGTGATATGACGTGGAGTTGCGGAACGTGGCAACTTCCCGTTGGGTGAAGGCTGAGGAAGGATCGTTTGTCGAGATGAGAAAGTATCTATATCTTCCAGAAATTTGGGCTTTCCAGAGAAGTTGGCAGCGGACCACTACATGGGCCGATCTCGAGCTGGGAATCTCAAACTTATTTTCCGATCAGAATTTTTGTTCTTAGACGTCAGTGCCTCTCAAATCGAGTAATCGACACTATCGTTCACTAAACTTCCCCTAGATTCATTAGTGTCGTTACAACTTCCGTTGATTGTAGAGATTATCGCTATTGTGAATTGTTTTAGTCGACCATTGTTGAATCTGTAAATTCCATGTAACATAAATGAAAAACAAACTAAGAACTATAGGGGTTTACTTTGTTCGTTTTGGTATCAATAAGGTTGTTTATGGTATCGATTTGGCTATAACTAGAATGCATTTTCGGGTATGAATTCTTGTGTTTGTGATATGCATTCCTTGGTTTGGGTGTGCATTCAAGAACTAATAGTATGCATCCAAAGGTATCTGGTATCTCCCTCATAAATGGTGTGCATTTCCTAGTATCTGGTATGCATTACTAGCATGCATTCTTCTATTTAATGTATGCATTTCTTCTGTTTGGTGGTATGCATTTTAGTGTTTGTTGTATGCATTCTTTAGTGTTGTGGTTTGCATTCTACAGATTATGGTATGCATTCTTATATTTCCGGTATGCATTCCTCTGTTCCGATATAGATTCTAGTGTTCGTAGTATGCATTCAAGAACTACATGAATGCATTCAAAGGTATTTGTTGTGTATTATGATTTTTATGATATACATTCTTTAATAAGTAGTATGCACTTCCTAGAAATTGGTATGCACTCATGTTGCTAATATGATTGAGATATTTCCGATATGCATTCTTGTGTAACTAATTTGTGTTTTGTGTAAGCTAAAAAAATATTTTAAGTATACATTAAGAGTACTAGGTTTCTAATATTCTTCTTCAACGTTGAAGAATTTGCATCTAGTATGAATCTATGAATCTCTAGTTCAGCACTTGCTTGCAGTAGTGATGACAATTACGACGAAAGTCGAAAACAATGAGACAGCAATGGTCTCGAGAGGGAGGGATAGATAGAGAAGTGAGAACGATGCCAAACAAATAAACAAACAAACTCGTTATTTGGTTGACTGAAAATGGCAGTCCCAACAGTTGGATCCAACTAGGGGAAACAAAAAAATTCAAACGAAATGTGCATGGCAGTAAAATTTATTGCCAAATCAACTTGCGACTTGAACATTACAGTTACGCAAATATTGAAAGCTCATTCAACCACTTGAAAACAAACTGCACAATGATTCTCTTCACCCCCTCTACAGAGGTCCAGGAAATGTCCCGTTCTCCCTTTGCTCGTTCCATTTCTCAACCTGCCACAACAAAAAGATTCACCAGACAACACAAAATCAAATGATCATGGCAGCACACACACATGAACTCAATTCAAAAGCCATACATCCCCTGTTCCCTGCAATACTAGTGTTCAGAACAAGGGACTTGGCAATTGGTCCTTGTAAATGTCAGTTTCTAGATAGCCATTGTATAAGCCTTTTGCCAGGACACTCACACAGCTTCTACGAAAATAAAAACTTCATCAGTGACATACCCATTCACCAGGGCAAAGAGAGCGATAGAATTTGGCGAATTTCTGACAGTCTGCAGCATCTTCCCCCTTTGCAGCAACGCACCTTATGAACATCATAACAATCATCCACAGTGCAGGTTAAGGAAATGCAAAACCAGAACCACAAGACAATTCATAAGGTTGAGATACAAATCACAACAGGCAAAAATGTTCCCAGTTACCGATGAAACTCAATGTATCGTGTGAAGCAGTGCCGGGTTTGGTTGGTTGTTGGGAAACGGAAATCTGCAGGTGCAGTCTTAAGCTGAAAAAGCATTGAAAGGGCAGAAGTTGTTCAGAATGAGATATGTAATAACACATATCAGAATTCGAGGGGATGGGGAACGGCCACAACACTTAAACATCTCATCACAATGCAATACTTGTCCTCCCAAAAGGATGGGGAAAAACGTCTTTGAAATTTTGGAAGGCTATTTCCATCAACTTGCATTCAACAAGCAAAAGCCAAGGCACAATTGTCAATTTTATTCGACCTACTTTGCAGGTCGCCATTGAAAGAAAAGAAGCTAGAAAAGCAAAGCCAATGTTTTTCTACAACAGCCACTAGAAAGTTAGCATTTATGAAACATAAATCGTCTTCCGTTGCTCATGCTCAGAGAGATGGGGGTTTCTTGTCCCCCATGTTTGTACATGAATCAATCCAGCAGTTGATATCATGATGCATGCTCAATATAGTGACCACATACCAGTCATTCACTAGTCTATAAGAAGCACACAAGCTCGGGGATAATACATGATCAGCTGATTTGGTAGAAGCGGAAACCAAGCAAAATGACAGAAAATGCAAGACAGTGTAGAGTGGCTGAGGAAGAAACACTCCAAAAGTTACACTCTTTGTTTTCTCTCCTTCTTCAAACCATGTTTTAAACTAGTAATCATATGATAGCTCAGTCCTTTGCAATTATAACTTACAACAAATATTCTATTTTCAGGTGAAGCTTGAACTAAGAGCTACAATTTGAGGCAATCATCTGATTCTGTCCTAATCTAATTGATGTGCTCACAGTAAGGAACCCTTAAGAAGTACAAACAGGCAAGATCATCTAACCAACGATGATACCATCTCAGTTTGTCGCTATAGTTTAGACCAATTCGATTAAACAACAGACTTCAACAAAGAAGCAAAATGGACCCTTTCTTCGTTCAAGGTTAACAACTTTGCAGTGTTCAAGATTAAGATGCAAAATTCACATATATTGATGCCCCGACTTAACACTAGCCATTCCCACCATCCACTTACAACCTAGGAAAAAGCAGGCAGACATTTTACAAACTCCCAGGAAAGCAAATACATTTTCTCCAGGAAAACCAGAAATCATCCAATGGTCACATAACCTATCTTAATCCCATTACTGGCAGCGGCATTCAACTTAATCCCCCATTTCTTTATAAGCATATGACAGCAACAAGTTCACCAAAAATTACCTTGACAAAAATGAACCCATACGAACAGGACACTCAACCAGCCTACTATAAAATCGCCATAACCAATAAACGTCTTGTGAAATGCAACAATAGAACAGAAAATGAACGATAAATCTTAGCCGCAGACAATCTTGGATGGGCCGGTGATTTTCCATACCAAAGGAAACGGAAACACAAATAAAATTTAGACGAAAATTCAGGACTCAAAGATCAAAGCGCCCACAGAGTAATAGAAGAAAGGCAGGAAAACAAGGTTGACGGAAGGCGAAAATAACCATAGCAAGAAGGAAACAGACGAAACAGATCGAATATGCAATTGCGATCATTTTCGAAAATTCGGAGAACAGAATCAATTGTATTGATCGTCGGATTAGGAAAAAGAAAAGAGAAGAACGCACCTCCAGAGAAGAGAGAGAGTCGACGGTGGCGAGTTCGGCCATTGCAGAAGACCGGAAGCGCGATCTGGTATTTTTTTTGGGGGACGGAAGTGGGATCCCTGAACAAGAAGGAGCGAGCGCACAAGACAGGAACAAAACAGCAAAGAAAAGGGGAACGGGATGGGGTTGGCTAGGTCAAAACTCAAAACGACCAGTTTGAGAGGCTTGAGGGCAGGGGAGTTTGTGTGAAAGCTGGGAACTGCAGTCTCAACTAGATATCCACTCAGAGCGTGGCACGTGGAAATTCCTTTTTCGCTTTTTGGATGTAAGACCAATTCAAATGGTGAAAGTTCTTTTTTCACTTGGTTAAATTACAAGTTTTGTCACTTGGTTTAGCAAAAAATTTCATATTGTTAAAAATACTTATTTTTTATTGTTCTTATCGCAAAAACTCTATATTATTAGTTACTCACTTTCACTATCGTTTCATGTCATCTAATTTCGTTAGATTAATAACATTTTTTATTCGTCTTACGTGACTGTCAACTATAATCGTTAAATTAATGACATTGTAATTAAAAGTAAACAAATAAGAATAATCATATTTAATTTTCAACATCATCATCGTCTAATTTCGTTAGATTAATGACATTTTTTATTCGTCTTACGTGACTATCAACTATAACCGTTAAATTAATGACATTGTAATTAAAAGTAAACAAATAAGAATAATTATATTTAATTTCCAACATCATCATCGTTTTTTTTTTCTTTTTTCGGTAGTGATTTGGGAAAGCTTGACAAAAGCTTGTGATCTTCATGGTCCTGACATTCCTGTTACGCATCAATTTCTCCTAGCTTGGCGAGGCTTCTAGTGCGACCCACGATTTAGAGACTGCATTAAATTGCTGCCTCATGCGGTATTTTGGTACATTTGACTAGAAAGAAATGATAGGATCTTTAGAGATGTGGAGACTGGAGACCTCCCCTCAAGTGATATGCCACAAGATTGTTCGTATGGTCGGTCGGTGGCTACGAGCACTAAATCGTATTTCATATATTCTCCCCTTCAATTTGCTATGATAAGTATTTGGGAGTTCCTTCGGAATGGGGGAAGTCTAAAAAAGAGACTTTCACTTTCCTTTTGGAAAGATTGGAGAAGAAAGCTAAATCCTGGAAAAGCTTGCTCCTCTCTTCGGCTGGTAAGAAGACCCTTCTTAAAGCAGTCCTCCAAGCCCTTCCAATTTTTGTGATGAGTGTCTTTCTTCTCCCACTCTCGCTTACTAATAAAATGGATGCTATCCTCCGTAGATTTTTTTGGGCAGGGTCGATGAAAAAGAAATCCATCCACTGGTATGATGCTCGAACCCTAGAGAACCCTAAACAGGTAGGTGGAATTGGTTTTCGTAATTTCCATATGTTTAACTTGGCTCTTCTTGGTAAACAGGTGTGGAGAATCCTGGAGAATCCTTAAGCTCTTTGGGTTAAAGTTCTTCACGGACTTTACTTCCCAGATGGAGATTTCTTGTCAGCCAAGAAAGGAAGGAGCGGATCCTGGATCTGGAATGGCTTGTGTGACACGAAAGAGAAGTTGAACATGGGACTGGTTCGCGTGGTTCTGTCAGGAGAGGAAACTTGGTTACAAGGAGATCCTTGGATCCCCTCCATTCCATCCCATACTATACCTTCCACCAACATCCCCTATTCTAGAGTTTGTGACTGGATTCTTCAAGAGGAGAGAGCATGAGATACTGAAGCTGTTATGGGACAATCCAAGTACCACATCGATTGTACAAGGAAAGGAATCCTTGTATATAAGTGTCCACCAAGCTCATTAGTACGAGGCCTTTTGGGGAGGACACCCAAGAGTAAAACCGTGCGGGCTTGGCCCAAAGCGGACAATATCGTACTAATTGAGCTCCCCGATATGACAAGTGGTATCAGAGCCTGGTTCAGCGGATCTGGGGTGGTGGACGTCAGTTTGGTGGGACCCTCGTTTGGTGGCCTCGGGATTTGCGATCCACGTTTGTTTGGCGGATCTAGGAGAGTTCCGCGTCTGGGAAAATCCTTGTACCGAGAAGCCCATCGATACAAGGTGTCTGGCGGATCAAGATAATCGCTGAGGTGAGGACACGATGTTCGTGGTCCTTGTCTTGAGGGGAGGATTGTTATGGGACAATCCAAGTACCACATCGGTTGTACAAGGAAAGGAATCCTTGTATATAAGTGTCCACCAAGCTCATTAGTACGAGGCCTTTTGGGGAGGACACCCAAGAGTAAAACCGTGCGGGCTTGGCCCAAAGCGGACAATATTGTACTAATTGAGCTCCCCGATATGACAGAAGCCATTTGAAATGTCTGCTCAGAAGACATTAGTAATGCTATATGTCGAATCCCGATTGGTCCGGCAGGTACTAGTGACTGCTGGACCTGGAAATTCATAAAATCGAGATCCTATTTTGTTCGCTCAGTGTACCACTCACTCCGCGAGCAGCGTGACCTTCTCGTCCCTAACCATCATGGTGGGACTAGCCATTTGGGCGACCTGGAATGGTCTTGGTTTTGGTCACTTGCCCTCCCCCCGAAGCTTAGATTCTTCCTTTGGAAATGCTCTAAGCGAGCTATTGCTACTAGGGATAGACTCCACACAAGACAATGTGCTCCCAACCCGAGATGTTCGATCTGTGATGCTCCGGGTGAATCTATTATGAACTGCCTCTTCTACTGTCGGCACGCATCTGAAACGTGGAACCTTTCTGGTATGCTCAATAATCTCCCAGCACAGGGCTCGTCTTTTGCGCATTGGTTTTTCGGATTGAAGGATGACTATAGTGACACTCGCATTCGTCAGATTGTCTATTGTCTCTAGAATATTTGGATTTATAGGAACTTCTTTATCTTTGACAACAAGGCTCCTTCCCCAGCCTCCACGATAATTGTTGCAGGCCGTGACTTCCTGGAAATTGATGAAGCTCGAAGCACTGGAGCTTCCTGCCGACCTGCTCTTTTATCTTCTCAGCCAAGGGGTTCCGATCACAACATTGAACCACCGCCTACTTCCCGAGTGATCCACTGCGACAGCTCGTTTGTCTCATAATCCCTCCCGGCGGCGTATGGGATTACTATTGCTAATCCTCAGGGTCAAGTATATGATGGCAAGGCTGAGTCTTTCTTTGTTCTCATCCGATTCAAGCTGAGGCTTTTGGGCTCCTCAATGCTATCTTGCTTGCGGCGCAAGATCCAGTTCCTACTTGCATTTGTTCATATTGTCAAGTGCTGACTCTTGCATTGCATCAGGATCCGGCCTCCTGGCCTTAGCTTTGTTAAGCTTCCCTTGCGCGTATGACTTCCATCTTATCCTCTTCGCCTTGGATTCGCATCGAGTTCGTCCCAAGGCGGTTGAACATATTGGCGAATTGGGTTGCTTGGCAAGCTAGATTGGAATCATTACCTGTGGATTGGAATATAGTTTCTAATATTATTGCTCCACTGTTGTAATGCAATGCAGTCAAAATCGGGATTTTGATCGTAAAATCGTAGGATTTTAGGATTTTACTTAGGGATTCCGATCCTGATTTTACTATAAAATCGGTGGACCATAAAATCGTTCAAAATCGGGATTAAAATCGTTAAAATCGTATAATCGTACCAAAATCGGGATTTTGATCCTATGTGAACAAAATAGGGAGCTTGAGCCAATTCAAAAGAAGCAGAACTGTTTCGGTGGAAAGGGCAATGACGGGAATCTTCTCATATATTTTTCCTATTAAAAGAATATTTGAAAAGAAGAAAAAAAACTTATTATGGTTTGATCAACCCCTTTCCCTTCTTCTTGTTTAACTCATTGGTAAAACAATTATAAGAATATTGTAAGTGCGTAAGAATTAACATCATTATTAATAAATTATTTGATTAGTGAATATATTTGTACCAAACCAATGACATTAATTATTTTATTGGATTTCAGTTATTCTTAGTTTTAAATCATGCTTAGTAGACGATGTCGGGATAATACTTTGAGTTAAACTACCTAGACACAACATGAAAAACAAGAGTCAAACCCCATGAGCTCTATCCCCTCCTCATAAATTATTTTGAGTTACGCATTAAATAACAATTAAAATGATGATTTTGGAACATTAATCTTGAAAATTATCACTTTAAAGGTTATAAGTCTTTGTGTTATTAATTATTTACCTTATTAATATTATTATATGTTAATTTCTATATGGTACTTAAAATCCTACGATTCTACGATTCGATTTTACGATTCCGATTTTATCCCAGTTTTCGATTTTAGGTAAAATCCCGATTTTAACTGCTTTGTTGTAATGAACTCTTTTCTTTGCTTGCTCGGATGGAATGAAAGTTACCACTGTTAAAAAAAAGAAAAAGTTCTTCAGTCATGATGCTTTGACGATTCCACTCGTTGCGACTCTCCGGTTCAGCTATCCTCTTCTCTCGCGGGCCTCTAGGCACAAAGGTTAAGCCAACAGGGGCTCAGGGCGGTGAACTCGGGAGGTTTTGCTCCACGGCCAAACTTGGAGGAGACGAACACCAAACCACATAGATGGAATAATGAAGGTTACAAGGTTCTATATATAAACCTGGGATAATGAAAGGGATGGTGTGCTCCATCATCCCCTTCCCCTTGAAAACCAACCTTGTCCTCAAGGTTGACCCATTTGACCTCCTTCTCCTTGACCCTTCGCTTTCTTCGTTTCCAGTTGTGCTCAAGTTCATGAATGAACTCTTCTCTCGGAACTCCAACTTTTCCCAAATCTCCTCCACCTTCGCGACATATGTCACGTTCTTCATAGCCAAACGGTTCCTCCTCTTGTTTCTCGTATTTCACAAAATACGAGTCGAGAAATTGTTCTTCCTTGCACTCCACGATTTCCACCGTCGGCTTTGTGACGTAAACAAGCTCTTTTGGGTTCCCTTCTTCTCCAAATGGGTTTGGATTAGCCCACCTTGAAAGCCCAACTCCTACTCCAACGAGCCCACTTCCTTCCTCCTTCCTCTTTTGTTCCTGCAGAATAAATTTAACATAAAAGCTCACTCGTGGCCCAAGTCTCTGTTGATAACTCGGCCCAACTTCTTTTTCCAATAGACAGGAGATGAGCTGAGTCTCTAGCCCACTCTGCCGGCCCATCGGAGTTAGCCCATTAATTTGTTTTGTTGCTTCCCCAATTGACCTTAGACTAAACTCCCTTGAAAGCCCACCTTCTATTTTCACCAGCCCACGTCCTATACCATGCAAGTCCAACCTAGTCACATATAATCCCAGTAGACAGCCCAAATTGAGCCCAAGCTCATTCTGAGGATGCGACCCATAAAGTTGATCAGCCTGGCCCATAAAATACCTTGTTGTCTTCATTTCATCAAACCAATCCATTGAGTTGGGCCCGACACCAGAAAGAATGCCCCAGGTCATTCCGCCCGTGCATGGGCCAAAACCCGCTTGAACTCTTCTGCTCTCCACTGGTCCACCTGCTCCTTTCAAGTTCGGCCCATGGTTTGACTTACCAGGCGCATCGGCCCAGGGAAAAGTACAGTCCACGAGATGTGGCTGTCGCGTTGCTCGTCCCAAAGCTGGCCGCCTAGGGTTTGTGGAGCAAAGGAACCCGCCACCTTCTCCTGTTTCCTTCTCCCGCGACTCCATCTCCGGCGAGCCTCTCACCAGCTCCTTCTCCCGCGGTGAGCGGTTCGCCTGACAGCCGTGAGGCAAGTCAGATGCCGACTTCGCGCTCGGGTTTGCTTGCCCGCCCGTCGCCGCCACGACCTGCCGCGCCGCCACCGCCGCCGCGGCCCCGAGGGCGCCCTCCGTCACCGATCGCCTCGGCCCGCCGTCTGCCGGCACGGCCTGCGGCGCCTCCCCCTGCAGCACCGCCACTGCAGTCGCGACCCAGCGGTCGCCCTCCGTTGTCGGCAACCTCGGCCCGCCGTCCTCCTGCATCGCCCTGCCAGCCCATTCCTGCCGCGGATCTTCCCGCTCCTCCTCGTTCGCCGGCGAAACCCAAGGCTCCTCCTGCGTCGCCGCCGCCATCACGTCAGCGGTCTCCTCGAGTGGTGGCTCCTCGCGTGGCAGCGCCTCGCGCGGCGGCTCCTCGCGCGGCGGCTCCTCCGCCAACGCCTGCCGCGGCTGCGCCACCGAGCGCCTGCTCGGGCCGCCCGCCATCACCGCTGACCAGCCTCCTTCGCGCGTCGTCACTTCCCGGTCGGCGCAGAGAGCATCAATTCGTTGCAGCAAACGTGTCCTCCTGCATCAATTGAGAGCCTGAGAACCAGTTGCTCCCAATAACTCGAGTTGTTGTGAGAGGTTCAATTGTGGATATCATATACCACAAGCACTAACACGCCCCTCAAACGAAAGTACTCACAAGGGCTTGAAGTTTGCACAGGTCTGAAGACAAGAATACCCATGTGCTTAACAAATGGGGGTCACCGGGAATCGAACACAAGACCTCTCGATCATAGAAGGCTCTGATACCATGTCAAGAACCAGTTGCTCCCAATTACTCGAGTTGTTGTGAGAGGTTCAATCGTGGATCATATACCACAAGCACTAACATAATGAAGTGAATGTTTAAGGTTAGAGCATCCCACCAGAGCTACTAGGTTCCAACATGCAGGCTAATCCGAGTTGTAGTGGCCTTTTAATTGCATGATTTCTATTAGTGACTCTAGGTTGATGAAACAAAGAACTTGGTTGTTGCGTAATAACCAACGATGGTGACACTTATCACTCCTGAATGTTAACTTGATTGTATTATTACAAAGGCTGCTTGTTGTTTTGCTATGATTTGCAGAAGGAAAGCCTAGTATGGAATCGAGGGAGAGAAACAGACCATAAGGAATTTGGAATAGAAGGTTTGGTGCTGGTTTATTGCTGCCGCTTCATGCTACTGGAAGTTGGTTCATTAGGCTCAACTGTTACTGATTGGAGTTGTAATGATTCTTGACCTTGTGTACTCCCTGGAAGAAGGTGCTGGTTTTCTAAAGGTTTTTGGTAATTGGTCCAGTGGTAATACCACGGGTAAACTACTTATTGCAATGAGCTTCGCTGCAAATCACCAGTTACAGTTCCAGAATCAACAAAATGGTTCTTAAAAAATGCCGCCTCCCTCCCAACTAAACTCCATGCACAAGAAACGGGCATGACTTGATCGCCCCTTTGTCAATAAATCACTATGCGTTACAATTTAAGGAGACGCGTAAAAACAACCAACCATTCTTGCCAAACAAATCCACAGTGGAGAAATGCATCTGATTCTCACATACCTTGCCAATCTGTGTAAAAGTTTTATCAGATGAGGAGATTAAGCCAATGCATCTCTTACTAGCTGACAAAAGGCCAAAGGATATATTGTTCATACAAGTAAAGGAATATCTTCTTCTTTTATTTTTCTTTTTTTCTGAGTGAAATAAAGGAAGATCAGAACCAGTATTTAGCAGCCAGGTACCTGACACTGCATAACTCTGACGTTGCAATACATAGCTAGGATTCAAATTCTAAAGTCACAGATACTGGAATTCAAAGAAACTAAACACAACCAAATCTACGCCTATGGTGCACTCAACATGATTCAGCACCAACACTTCGAAAAAACCCATCGATTCCCCCAGGAGTCTATCAGATAGCACAGCGAAAGAGCTAATGCTGGAGATTCACATACTAAAAATCTCGTGTTGCTTTCTTTGTTCCTCGTGTCAAAAGCATCAAGCCACCCGAGTCCAATGACTTGGTTCACAACATACTCAGAGATTCTAAAACTATCAGATGATTTCAACATTACCAACATGAAACAGCACCACCTAGTCAGTGGCCATCAGAGAAATTTTTCGGCATGGCCTTCTGTTCTCAAAAACCCACACTAGAGCGAAAACACAGAAGCGTCTGGACCTAACTTAACCTTAAGACTCTTAAGACCTTCCTAATTGGCTCAGGGGGCTTCCAGTCTGTGTCTCCCTGCTTGCATCATTTACTGTAAGTGCAGGTTCTAGTACAAGAAGTAGTTCCACTGAACCAAATTTAAGCTATGCTTTCAAAATGCATGGTCCAACAAGCCAAACACAGTATCAACAAAGCGCTGGAAGTGGACATCTACCGAACCTAACCCGGAACCTGCATTTCGTAGTCTAGCAGAGAATCACTTCAGTTTCTTTTCAACAAGAAATCCTCGCATATAAACTAAAGATCGTACAACTCCTCTTGAGAACCACATTCTCAAACATAGCTTTCTAAATTCCAGTACCTTGGGATAGCACATAGCACAAGCAAGACACAGTAATGACACTAGAATACAAACACAAAGTACCCTTTACAGGCTCTTCAATTCGCAAAAGACCACCACAACTTGTACAGATATCATGAATATAATCACACAAAAGTTCTCGAAAGAACAATATAACCACCACAAAATACACATTCGAACCGGGTAAGAAACAGCAACTAGACAAAGATTCAACTGTATTTGGTCACTTTGTTCATATGGAAAGCTTTCATTTCAAGCCGAAAGAGTGAAAAAGAAAGAGAAGTCCAACATCCAGCGGGGAAATTGTCCTATTTCACATGTCTTTGCACTTGGGTATTCATTTACAAGATAACAAACCAACCAACCATGTACCCTTAAACCCTTCTGTGTCGATCACTTTTTCTATCAGAATCACCAGTAATCCTCCAATAAACCCCTCCGGTTTATGTACACATTAAAGAGAGAACCCATATGATCAGAAGTTCAGAACCCTAAATTCTAGACCTAACACTCAGCTGACAAACAAATTTCTTGTTCTTTTCTGCATAAACCCCCAAATGGAGGAAACACTTACCTGAGACAGAAAAGCAACATTCTTTTCAGAGCCCCTTCCACCTCGGGCTGGGTACAGGCACTGTCGGCGAGAGAGGGAAAGCAGTCGGTGAAAGCAGCGGGTACGAAGACCGAGGCGAATTCAAACACCCAAACGGCAGCGGCGAGAGCGGCAGCTGGAACTGTGGGTGCGAAGTCGGTGATGGGAGCACCCCTTGCTGCTGCGGCGGCGGCGGAGGCGGCGGCAGAGCTGAATTGCTGTTCCAGCGCGGTGAAACAAGGGGAGCCAGGGGCGAGAACCCAGAGAACTGTTTGTTGTTAGGATCGAAATTAGGGACGGAGTTGTGGAGGTAGCGCATGTAAGCGGAGACTGGCGACTCCGCGGCCGCGTGGACTGCCGGAAACGGCGGTAATGGGGACATGGGAGCGGGAGGGCGGTGGAGGAACCCTTGGGCGGCGGCGGCGGCGGGATTGAACGGCTGGGGAGGGAGAGACGAGACGTCGGAAGGGTTGTTGATGATCGGAGGTGGGCGATTGGTGAGGTGGGCGAGCGGCGGAGGGCGAATCCGCTGCAGGCGAGAGCTCTGGGGTTTTGGTGCGTGGATGGGCGGCGGAGCGGAGAAGCGCTCGTGAGCAGGGGATCCGGTCAGCTTCTGGACGACGTCGCGGAAATCGCTCTTGTTGATGTTGTAGACCGGCGGCTGGTTCTGGCTCTGCGGCGGTTGGGAGGAGGCAGGGGGCATCGGCGGTGGAGGATTGAAGTCGTTGTTGTTGTGATTATCATCGTTTGGTGGTTGATCGAAAGGCTTTTTTGGGATGGTGGGTTTGGAGATCTTGTGGGAGAGCTTGTTGAGGCTTTTGAGGTACTGATCTCTGCTACTGTTGCCAGCGCCAGAGTCCGCCGCCGCCGCCGCCGATGAAGAAGGAGGCGGTGGTTGATGATTATCCATCTGCTTCTTTTCTCTTTTCTTTTTACTCCACCACCAGAGAAACCCAATTCGGCACCTGGGTTTCTTGAAGATCTAAGAACGCCGAACCCAACTTGGAGGAACTGATCAACCAATCAGTGGCGATCGGCGGATTGGACTTGTAAGATACAGAAACAGGGGGCGAGAGAGGTGGGAGTGGAGAAGAGCAAACAAAAAGGATGGTCTCTCTTTTCTTTTTGGTGTTCCCGATAGGAAGGACTTCTCTTTTGTTTTTGTTTTTCCTTTTTTCTGGGTTTGATTGTAAGTTTTATCAGCAGGAAAAGAAGGTAAAATATCAAATATGCGAGTTGGTGTGTACAGTACAGTAGTAGTACAGTGAACACACTCCGTCACAGGATGTAGCTCTACCAAAATGATTTCACTGCTTCATTTTCAGCAGTCAACGGTCAAACTTCCTGATGCTCGATTCTCAAGTACTTTTTTGTTGGGCCTGAATTTATTATGCTTAAGAAAAAAAGTAAAACCATTAATTGCTTTTCATTCTTTTTAAACCGGCTAAATTGCACATTTGGTCACTCGAATTATGCAATTCTTTCATGTTTATCATCTAAATTATTTTTCTTTCTTATTCGGCAGTAACTTTACGAATCGTTTCACCATTAGTCACCGGCCGTTACACTCCGTTAAATTTGTCCTACGTGGCAGTCAACTATAAAATTTGACCGTTAACCAGATGACGTGGAAATTTAAAAACAATAAAAATTTAATTTATTTGTCCACCTCATCATTCCACATTTCCACTTACTTTCGTTATATTATTTACCATATTATCTAATAAAAATTAATTAAATTACAAAATAATTAATATGATTAATTTATTCTCCGCCCTTCAAGATCCGACGGACGAGAGTGTCGTGTAAGCAACCGCCGATCTCGGTCCATCTTCGGTGTCGTTCATCTTCTTCTACCCTACCACCGGACCATCCAAATCACAGAATGGCGAGGAAACAAAATCAAGAAGAGTCAGGTGGGAATTATTGAAGAACATTATTTATCCAAATAGTTTACAACTAGATTGAACAAAGGTGGCTCGATGCTTCCGAGCAATCAGCAATTGAGAAATTCCAATTCCACAGCCAAACTAAATCTCAACGAATGGCGAAAGAGAAAAGGAAAAATGAGAACTCTAGGTGGTAGCTCGTTCGGTTTAGTCTGCCGACATTTTCATTTTCCCGGTACGGTATCTAGATACCTTCATATCTCGCTGGAACGGAGTTCGAGCGAGCAGAGATGGAGCTGAAGAGGGGAACAGAGCTGCCAGCGAGAAAGGGAATGAGGAAGGCTAGCGAACGAGGCTTGAAGGAGATTTGTTTATAGAGTGAGGTGGCGGTTAGATTGTGAGCGTACGTACTGCCGCCGACACTTTTTTGTCTCCCCTGGCGACGGTGGCCCAGAGTTATGAAATCGAAAAAAGTGTGAGCGTCGACGATCTTGTGCAAGAGACAAGCCCCAATGGCGTCGTTGCCGCAGAGGAAGATGGTGGCCTTGAATGCGATCTGCAGTGTCGATTCAATAACCGACGGTTGGCGGATGAGGAAGGAAGGGAAGGGGAGGAACTGGTGGAGCGAGTCGAGTTGGGGTTGCTTGCTGAGAAACAGACTCATGGACATGGACGGGTACTCGACAGGTGAAAACGGAAAACCCTCGTCATCGCAACGGACGAAGTGAAGCGAGTCGGCTGCAGATTTGGACAACCTTCTGGGCAGCATGTAAAAGCGAGTGAGAGCCTTAGGGAGTGACGATTTTAGGGTGTCCAGTGTTGTGTCTCCGCCTGGTTTGGATGGTCCGGTGACAGGGTAGAAGAAGATGAATGGCACCAAGGATGGACCGAGATCGGCGGCAGCGTACAACGGCAATCTCGTCCGTCGGATCTTGATCGATGGAGAATAAAATTATCATATTTTTTTCAATTTAATTAATTTTTATTAAATAAATAATATACACAAAGTAAGTGGAATAATGAGGTGGACAAATAAATTAATTTATTATTTTTAAAAAATTTCCACGACATCTATTTAATGGTCAAACTTTATAGTTGACTGCCACGTAGGACAAATTTAATGGAGTGTAACGGACGGTGACTAATGGTGAAACAACTCGTAAAGTTAGTGGCGAATAAGAAAGAAAAGTAATTTGGATGGCAAACGTGAAAGATTTGTGTAATTCGAGTGACCAAACATGTAATTTAGCCCTTTTAAACCATTCAATGTCTCCTCTTATCTAGGGATGGCATTGGGTCGGGTATGGTCGGATTTTGCCAAACCCAAACCCATGGGTTTATCCGTAAAAAAAAATCGGGGTAAAACTTATTGGGTTTGGAAAACTCAAACCCAATCCGCTGGGTATTTGCGGGTTCATGGGTACCCATGAGTTTTTGTGGTAAAAAATTTACAATAACAAGTTCCTATCGAAATAAAATTCAAATATCAATTTACCCATACAAATTATCCATACATGAAACACCATTCTAGAAAATTCAAATATATCACAATTACACTAGATAAAATTACAGAGAATAAGTGTAGCGAGAGTTAGATTGGAGGAAATTAGAATTAGAGTAGTGTTTGGGAAGAGTAAGGCGACAAAATATATATGGGCAGTATACCCAAACCCAACCCGGTGAATAGTGTACGAGTTAAATCCAAAATTGTCCCGAAACTAATTTGGGTTTTACCCGCGTTGACCGGGTTGGGTCGGGTAAGGTACCCGCGGGTTCGGATTTTATTGCCATTCCTACTCTTATCAAACCGATTTAAATAGTTATGCCACGTGAAGTAAGTGGTATGGTTGGATCAACAATAGTTAATTTATGTCTTTATAGTTAGGTTCTATTTAAGGAGTGGGAGATGGCCATTCCAATCACGTATAACTTATTTTGACTCTGCTTGATATCGGAGTTCTTCGAATTAGTTTAGTGCATGGTACCAGTTAAACTGGCCAACAAAAAACTGGTTTGGCTTGCTCGTGCATATTGCCTATTAGTACTCTTTGTATGTATAAACTTTAAATTGGCTGAGCGGAAATCCCGGCTAGTGGGGAGATGGAAGCAAGAATGTAGTTCTATAGAGGATTAAGTTTTGGAATCTGCCTATTCAACCTAACCTCAAATTCTTTGCTTAGGAACTTTTGCAGAGATTGTTGCCTAATATGGCGGTGTTGTGGGATAAGAAGGTATCGGTCTTACTCTGATGCCTGATTTGCTGGGCGGAGGAGAAGAGTACGAAGCACCTGTTCTTGCTCTGTCATGTGGCGCATATCCTGTGGGAGGAGGTGGGTATATCCGCGGAGCTACAGACCTTGTCGAGTGTGTGCTTCAATATTTTCTTTTGGAGATTCTTGGATCGGGATTCCTCCTTGCTGAGGGTGGTGATTTTTTTTTTTTGCCTGTTATGGAGAATCTGGAAGGCTAGTGTAACACTTTAGGCAAATCTCACATAGAAAAAACACGGGAGAGATCCATGGTTCATAAGTAGGAAACCGGCCTTAACTGACAAGACGCGTTTTGGGGTGAAATGGAGGAGTTCTTGTGAGAACTCTGAAGTTAAACGTGATCAGTGTGGAGTACAACAAGGATGGCTGACCTTATGGGAAGTCACCTTGAATTGCACCCCAAGTCGAAAACCGTGAGGGTCGAGGCCCAAAGCGAACAATATCTTCGTCTGGAAAAGGTTTGGGATGTTACAACTAGGATTGAGTTTTTTTTTGTCTGTTAGGAGAAGAAGAAGCAGTACCTACCTCCAAACCGACCATAGTAAATCCATTATGGAGAGCTTCTGTTCACGTGTGGTAATGTATTCCTCCATCTCTCTATCTATCTAAACACCCCCTATTGTTTAGGAAGTCGACTCTTTTGTTATCCAAACTTATACATTATGTTTTCGTATATGTATTTCAAGGTTTTGTTCATATGGTTGGTTGTTCTTACTAACTTTAATTTGATATCATGTATGTTAATGGGAAACTGCTTGTGTATGATAAGTTATGATGCTTTGCATCATTCCCATGCATAATCTATGGAAAACTTCATTTTTTATGTAGAGGATCCTTGAGAATATGATTCGAGGCATACCTAGCATGATCTTTGACTTGTCACTACAACTGAGTCAAATTGTCTTTTAGCTTTTTAACTAAGGAGCTAGGCTTGTCTTGGTTTTTCATTGAAATAATTATTGCTTAATTAAGCACGAGGTGTAAGTAAGCATGACGTGGTAATTAAGCACGAGGTGGATTATAAAGATCTAGTCGTCATTATCTTCCACATTGTTACCATGAGATGTTACATATAGATTCATTTGAGAATGAGCTATCCCCATATTATATGATTTATAATGATGATTTTCATACGTCTAACCATGAGGTGTTGAATCAAATTTATTTGGGGATTACTCATATGTTTAAGAATGAGGTGCATATTCTTTTTGGTTCATTAGAGATGATTCATCACTATTTCATGAACCTATAAATAGGGGTTGGAGTGAGTGACAAAAATCAACACTATAGTTCTTCAATTCTCCAAAGCTCGTGGTTAGCACCAATTGGTGGAGGTGATCTGATCAAAATCCGAACAAAGGAATTGGCTACAATTGTCGTGGATGAATTGCGAATAGGACTACTTTAAGAGACTATAGATAGAATGGACCATTTGTGCTTTAAATCTTGATTGTATCTGTGTTTTGAGTTTTAATTAGTGTATGTGTTTTGGTGATATTCAGATGAAGCTCTCCTAAACAAGTGATTTTTAATTTTTTGTTTTAAGACTTTATATTATTGTGTTTAACTCTTAATAGTCGAGTTTTAAGTCTCCATTTTTCTACCTTTAGATTTCGTGTTTTGTCTATAGTTTTCCCCCTTTTTATTGTGCTCTCCAAACTCAACATTTAGAGGCTCCTCAATCCCACTTGATTATCGAAAATACAAGCATATGATTCGAAGCAGTAAAAAAATAGCGGATCCTTGGGAAT